GTCAGCTTTAGTCTTTGATAAAGGACAATTTGACAGCTATGCAGACTTTCCAACGCTTGGTTCCACTCCCTTCAGCTCCAGAGACTTTGCCTCGGTGGTTTCTTGACATGAAGGCTGATCCTCCGGAGAGAGGGATGCATGGTGGACTTCAACCAGCATCTCATAGATCAGAGTTCCTACCAAACCGCCGATGCAGGGAGCGACTAACGGGACCCACCACCAACCACGTCCAGCCCTATAACATAAACATTAGGTAAGAATGAGGGATAACATTTGGGAGGACGTAATGACAACAACAAAAAATAACCTGAAAACGTCATCTCCCCAGCCAGCAATGTAAGTGAAGAAGCGAGGTCCAAAATCTCTGGCCGGGTTCAGGGCGTATCCGCTGTTTGAGCCCATGGAAACGCCGATAACCAGGACCGTGGCTCCGGCCAGGAGGGGCTGAAGATAATCGGGAATGGAGGTGTTCCTCTGGTCCCCTACAGCCAGGATGCACAGCAGCAGAGCAGCGGTGCCTATCACCTGCGAGACATCCAGTGGGTTAAACTTAAATAATGCTTTCATGCGTTTGCCCAATGTCGGTTTTGCAAGACAGGTCGGTTCAAGGATGTTTGTCGATTAATTTTTTTTATTAGATTACAATTTGTTCCGATCGATAAACTAATAATAACGTCTCCTTAAACAGTCTTTCCATGTTGTAATTCGCCCGCCATCCAGCAGTGGGCGCCGCTGGTTATAAACAGAGCCGTTGATGCAAAAACAAACATGGCGGCTTTTCCAGAGAAGAAAAGCCTCTCTTTTGAAATATTAACACCCGATACGGTCGTTAAGTTATCACTTTAATAATGCTAATTTAACCTAGCTATGTGAAAAATGACGTTAACTTAACCAAGAATTACTAATGTGGTACAAAGGTGAGGATATGACGACAGAAAAGCGGAGGGCAGCCATTATTTGCATCTTCTTGGGTGTCTGAAATGTAACATTCTCCCATGTATGGAAACCTAGGCCCAACCTGTATTTTAGCTTAAGTAAGGGAACGTTACAGGTCATTGCTTTGACAGTTCACGGCTGTGTTGCTGAAGTTAAATATGAATTTCTCATGTCTTCCAGATAAAACAGTAACTATATCTGACCTGGTCCAAGAAGCCTCCCCCCAAACTGAGGTATTCAGCTGGGTAAGTGCTGAATATTCCTGCTGTAGCCGTCTGACCCGTCACCGTCAGCTGACCCCCGCTGTAACTCAGGATGGCGTCTGCAAACATTTTATTCAAACTCAATAAAATGGACTTAAAATTTGAAAGGTTTTTATGGCAACAGTAGGGTTGGACGTAAAAATGTCAACGTTATATTTTATATACCAAAGTCGATCTCCAATTTTAATAACATTTTTCTCACTTTTTTTTTATTTTAAAGAAATTACAAGTGACAGCAGAAAATATTTTCAACAATTGGCTTTTATTTCAATCATCTCTAATGTGAATTGACCTGAAATCAAATTTCAAATAATTAGAAGCTGTAAAACACACTTGTCAAACAAACTGGTAATTCTTGGGCGCGCTGACGTCACATATGGGAACCAAAGAAGTGAATTGTTGGGGGTGGAGAGGAAAGAAGAAAAAAAAATCCAGATTCACATTGTAATGATGTGAAAATTTATTTTAAAAGATTTCCATGAATGAATGTAGAAACTCACAGCAACAGAACCTGTTTTTAATAATAACTCAAAGTTTATTAATTATTTTCATAAAGTCCGTAATAGTACGGAGGACTAATAGTGCCTGTACATGGTGCCAGTGATTTAATGTTTTGCATGTGGACTCACCGTAGTACTGCAGACCAACTGTGGCTGCACCCAGAAAGGCTCCAAATATTTGGAAGAAGGTATAGAAAGGGAGTTTCATCCATGGATGTCTGCCCAAAACGCACAAACTCAGCGTAACCGCAGGATTCAGGTGAGCCCCTTTGAAAATAAACAATCTGATTTACCAAAAGCACATTCTGCATCTGTCAGACTGAACAGGTTTCAGCTAATTTTGTCAGAATTTTTCAAGGGTAAAATAAATGGTATTTTAAAGTGTATTCTTTGTTATACAAATCCTGTAGGCAGGATAACTTGAGTATTCATATTGTATTTTGATTTTTAAGTAGTAACTAGTTACTTTTACTCAGTTACATTTACTTGAGTAACTTTTTGGAAAAACTTTAAGAGTACTTTTTACTTTTACTTGAGTATCTTTCTTATGAAGTATCACTACTCTTACTTGAGTAGTATTTCTGGATACTCTACTCACTGGGAGTAACTTCACTGAATGATGAACAAAAATGTTTTACAGGCTCCTGCAGCTTTTGTTAAAGTTTTACAGTGAAAGAAATGGATTTGGAAAAATGTTTCTTCTTTTAGTAATTATGTTATTTGTATAAATTGGTTTCATTTTGACCTATAAAATAGCAAAATTTCCACATAACTTCATGTTTTGTTCTGTCTGATGATGTAATGTTTTGATCTGTTACTCATTACTTGAGTAACTTTTATACCAAATACTTTTTCACCCTTGAGTAATTCTTTGGACGGCTAGTTTTCACTTTTACTTGAGTAAAAATATGTTGAAGTAGAGCTACTCTGACTTGAGTACATTTTTTAGGTTCTCTGGCCTCCTCTGCATCTTCCAGTCGGATAAATTAAATTCCAGCAAACTGTTATCTCTGCAATAAACATCTGGTTGGGAACCACGCCCTTACATAAAGCAGAAGAAATCAAAGTATCTTACCTGAGACTCCACGGGACACAAAGACCCCGAACGTCACCCCCAAAGCAAAGCCAAGGTTGATCGAAAGATACTGGCCATTTTTTTCTTGAGACGTCGTCACCTGTGCGACGGTGCCGCATCCAAACAACTGCAAACACACAGAGACTTTTCTGAGCACTGCAGGAGGAGTCAAAAATGTCCATGAATGAGCTGAGCAGAGAGTAGAAACGAGTTTCTATTTTAAGCTGGTGGGTAAAAACATTAAGATCGGACACATGCACTCGTTTTTATAGACTTCACTTCTGATTAACCTGCTTTATGGTCTGTGCTGTAAATGTTCATTGCTCTGGAAGGAGAGAGACTAATTAGGGGTAAAACAACATTAACATTAACACACCTCGTCTCTCAAACTGTCTCCATTTTGTTTGTTTCTAAAAAAAGAAAAAAAAAAAAAGAAGGGGCAAAGTTAAACTTTTCTGCAACACGAAGCAGTTTAGCGTCTCATTCATGAATTTTACTCACAATCAGGATGTAAACTCCGAGGCATTCGGCCAGGCATTCCCTGACCAGAGAGTTTCTGATCCGGCACCTCCTCAGCAGCCTCTCCATCCTGCAGACGCCTTCTGACCCCAGGTGAGCTCTCTGAGACGCTGCGGCGGTCAGGTGTGCGTGTGATCTGCACAGCTCTGCTGCTTCTGCCTCACTGAGCACAGTTTGCCCTCTGATGCTGGACTTCAGGGCTTGCGTCACAGACTTTATTGCAAGGCTGAGGCGTTTTTTTCTTTTTTTTTCCCAGCACAGGAGAGAAGATTATTTTACGTGACATTCTGAGAGCAGAATCAAAGCAGGAGGCAGGATTTACTGGATCTGAGCTACAGCTGATAGAAAAGAGCTGATTTCAGCTCCTTTCTGATTGGTTATTTCCACACTGATTCAATTTCTTCCCCTTTTTTATGAAGAGAAAAAAAGTATTGATATTACTGTTAAAATATTTTATAAGGTGTTGGGCAGTAACTGAAACACTGTAATTCTACCTAAATACATTAAGTTAAAAATATTCATTTATTTATTTTGCTTGGTCATTTTTAACCGCAAGAACAGAATCAGAACAGAAGAAACTCTCCTATTTATTTGTCTAAAATATTTATCCAAGCAATTCCAGATGTAGACAAACTTATAAAATTAAAAAACAAAAAATTAATTTAAAGATCCACTTTCCCAGATTTGAAAGTTTAAGAATAAAGTTCAACACAATAAATAACATTCGTTATTGGGAAACTCGTCTCCAAACTTCCAGATGTTTAAATATCAAACAATTAAATAAAATACAAACTAAAGTTTAAATTCTTCCTTAAGATTTTGTATTTCAAATGTTTTTATTCCAGACTGCATCACTTTATGAAAAAAAGAGGAAGAGTTTAATGCTGGTGAGATAAAAACGCAAATAACAAAGTCGTGTAAATATATTACGTCTTTATTTGATTCTTTTTCACATTTCTTCCACTCACTCTGCCTTTTTTACAAAAATAAAACATTTAACTGGACTGTTTGTTCTTGATGCGACTAGTTTTAATTTCCTGTTTGTATCAAACACACGTTCTCCCTTTAGAAACCAAACAGAGGACGATACTTTGGTTTATTTCTTATTTAAATCCTCCGAAGAACCGAGAGAATAACGAGTCGTCGCCCCGCAGATCCGAGAAACGATTCGAATCTCCTGGAAAAACAAAAAACAGAGCTGCTGTTTATTTATTCCTTTAGTTCAGTAAACCCAGCCTGGAGCACAGCTGACCTGGGAGAACCGGTCCGGTCTGGCGGTCCGGTCCATCCAGCCGCTCCGGACCTCCAGAGCGGGTCACCGTGGTCTTCTGGTTGCCGTGTCCGTCTCTGACCGTTCGCCGCTCCTCCACAGTCTGACACGCAGCGAGAGGAAAGCAGGAGAATATTTACACCCATCCTCTGGTTTTATGCCATTTTTCAAACTATGTTTTATTGCTTGATGCAGTATTTTCTTTCTAACACAACGGTTGGAAAGAAAATTTGACTTGAACATAAAACATAAAGTCAACTTTTAAATAAGTATAAGAATTAATTTTAACAATCTAGTGTCATTTCACTCCATATGAAAACGATTAAAAGTTTATTGTTATTTATTGAATCTGTAAAATTGAATTTCAAGTTAATTTTTAATTTTTTGAAAATTTCTTATTAGCTGATTTGTTGCTTTTTGAAGTTTTTCAGCTGTCAGAGGATTTATTTAAATTATTATTTCTGCAGGTCAGGTAATAATCAGGCCTGTGGGATTGAGTTCAGCTTTCTAAAATCAAACAGCTTTAATCCCAGTTAATTCATGACTTAACAGATAATTTAAGAGCCAGGAGGGTTTGGATATATTTTTTTCCTTTAATGAATGAAATCATAATTTGAAAGCTGCTTTTTGTACTTACCTTAATCTTTGTCTAATATTAAAACGTGTTTGATGTTCTAAAACATTTACGACTCATGGAAAAAACAAAACTACGTAAAATCCGCGAGCAGAAACACTTTTTTGCAGCATAGATAATCCCAAATCCCATTCTTCTCTCCAAACTCAAATTAGCACAGTGGGATATTTAGGTGATTTTTAAGCATAAATATAAAAGTTTGCAATGAATTTCATGTAATTCTTCAAATTTGTGGAGCTTTAAAGATGCAAGTTGTGAAAAACTTTGGAAGGAAAAAAAGATTTTGAAAATGCAAAAATAAATAAAGTCTGGAAATAGAAACATTTTTCCATATATATTCTGATCTGGACGATGCTCAATTTAAATGATTCATTTCTAAAATGATGTTAGAATCGTGAGAAAAGAACATTATTACAATTAAATAACTAAACAAATAAGTGTAAATTATATACACTTATAGAAGCATATAAGTGTATACACTACTAATATTGAAATTATTTTCTATATTAATAGAAAATGTGAATAAGTACACACACTTTTTTTTAAAAATAAATCTATATTTTGATGGAAGAACGTTTAGAAAGAGCTCACCCCGTCGGGTTTCACCACCTTGGTGACGACGACGGACTGGAAGAAAGACCGGCTCTGTGGTTCGCTCGGGTTCTGACCGACAGGAGGGGTCAGAATCTGATCCAAGCCGCCTGACGACACGGCAGAGTCCAGATCTGGACGGAAAAATTGACAAAAAAAATCAAACAAAAAAAAAAACCCGATACAATCCAAGTCAAAGACATTGCCTACCTCTGTCTTCTTTAGCCTCTGGACCTGGAGTTCTCTGCGGTGCCTCGCCCCAGAAATCATTGAACTGTTTGGACACAATAAGAAAATCTCAGAGACTTGTTGAATGTGAGCTGAAAAAGCAGTGAAGTCTGTCATGTACCTTAGAGAAAGGGCTCCAGCCATTAAAAGGCGGCGACTCAAACGAAGGTCGGCGATGCGGGTGCGGCCGGCGGACGTCGCCGTCGGGTGATTTGAGCATAAAGTCTCTGAGAGGATTCCCACTGCTCTCTGATCTGCCCTGAGGTGGAGACGGAGGCAGGATCCTGGGAACACCTGAAACATAAAACAAAGAAAAAACATTTTTCATTGGGAGGCTCTGAGGCAGAGCAGGAATCCGTCTGCTGGAGACGTTTCCCAGCCAGACCTCACAACCCAGAGCCCAGATAACAGACATGTTGGCTCCGTTTCCGCACCAAAGTGTCCCGACTCCGGATGTCCCTCCCAGCGGCCCAGCTGGGAGAAGATCTCCTCCATCTCCCTGAGGACGTGGCCGAACACGGCCGGCTCCTGGAACCTCATCCCGTCTGGACCCAAGCTGAAGCCAAACCTCCAGGCTCTGTCCAACGGGTCCTGCTGGTCCCTTCTGAATCCATCGTAGTAGAATCCTTCTTCCTCATCATCCTCGTCGTCATCATCATGAGTCATTGCGTCAAAGAAGGGGTCCCTAGAAAAACAAAGAGATTAATGTTCCTGCAGCCGCTATGTCCTTCTATTATGCTACTGAGCAACAAGTTCATGCTATTCGTTAGGGTGGAGATCAAGCACTTCTTAATTTGAACTAAGTACCCATAAATAAACATCAACCTAAAGTTCACTTACAAATATACCACTACAATATTTTACAACAGCAACAAGTCCACAAAACAGGCATGTTTGTTTATTATGATTTGACCTTCTCAATTTACATCATTTGTTTTGTTTCTATTAATGGTTTCTACATTTTACATTGCAACTATCCTACAGAGGGGTTGTTGTTATTAATAGAAAGCAAAGCAGAAAAAACTGCTGAAGTGTTGATATCTGCATGATTTTCCTTTTGAATGGATTTCGTCTCTCCTGGCAGCAGTCACTTGTGCATCAGTTTTTCCTACCACTAAATTTTCCAGCATTATCTTGGCATATAGCAATCTGTAAAGAGCCTGTAAAGAGCTTTTGTGTCTCACCCTGCCTGTCATTAGTTCAGTGACTGAACTAATGAATGCATATAATAAACAAAATTTACCTATTCAAAATTTATTTTGTTTTGTACTGATTCAAGAAATTTTCTGAAAAAATTCAGATTTATTGAAATGTACTGCAGAATATTGACAATTACTAAAAAAAATTTCTGGCTCAGATGGGGCTTATGTTTCTGATTTAAAATATTTTAACCACTTTTCTGATCAAAAGCCACTGCCAGCTGCTCACTGGGGGCTGTTAACCCCTAAAGGTCAGAACCTAGAACCGCCCCTGGCACCGACTGATTAGGAGTGACCTCAACAGATCATGGATCTTGACGCTAAAATGAGCAGCAGCTCAGTTAGATGATGGACCCCTGTTGTTTTCCTGGCAGAAATAAAACCACTAATCTTGTCCTAGACGGAGCTGGCTCGTTACCTAACAGCGGCTAACTTCTACCTTCTGATTTAGTTTTAAAAAACAAAACGACAAACTGACCTTCTTCCTCGGAAGTGTCCTCCCGGGACCCCGAAGAACCCACGGAATAAATCAAAAACACTCATTTACTCACAGCTCAAGATAAGTCGTTAAATCATAACTAGAAATGCGAACTACGAGCGAAAAGAGGCGTCAGCGATGCTACAAATGTCAACAGAGACGTAAAGCGCTCTGGAATGTTCCGCACGCATGACGCAATGTGTCGCAAAGAGACCGTTACCGTAAAGACGGTAAAAACACGCGCACTAATTTACTAAAACGAGTTCAAATAACCTACTAATCAGGATAATTACTCCAGCAGTAATGATGTGACTGAAATATATACTGGCAGAGCCACTAATTATTCCAGTGAAACACTCTTTAGGTATAAATGAGTTGGAATTTGTAGATAAAAAAAAATGCATTCAGATTAATTTACGGCGCCCGTATTTCCCTGAAAAGAAAGGTATTAAAATGGCTAACATATTTATAAAGTATTTGAAGATTTTCTGGCTAACATTGAAACATTAAATATTTTCATTGTGAAAAACGCACCTTTAAGACAATATTTTCCAGGACCGTATTTCCCACAGCAAAACACTTCCAAAAAAATACGTTTATCAAATGGGAAATAAAATAATTCAGATTTTTTGACCAAACCATTCTCAAACAGATGCAGATGTCTTAAAATTGTTCCTACTGTTTGCGCCTCTGGTTTGAGCTATATTTGTTTTAAAGTTTCAAGTGTAGCTGTTAATAAAAAAGCCAATTAATATTTACCTCTTGCTTTTCAGCAGGATTGAAAATAAACATTAAAAACACCTTCAATCTTGACTTTTGGAAGTGATCGATTTTCTTATCACATCAAAATAAGTTTATCAATTTAGAAAAGAGGAAAATCTTAAGTTCGAAAGTTGTTTTTAGGAGATCTTGTCATCTCTTTATACCAAGATGTGAATTTGGTCAAATAAAAAAAAATTCTCCATGGTTGACAGACGCGGTCTGACGTCACTAGGGTCACATGATCGGGCAGGTCAGAGCTGCAAGTTAACATGGCTGACCGACTCAGTAACTACTCCTGCAATAACATGTATTCTTTCAAAGATGAAAAACGTAAACAGACAAATTAAACGACCAGATTAAATAATATTTTCTAAAGACTAATTGAATGTTTCCAGTCCATTTAGGTAGGTCTGAAGGAAACAGATTGATCAGTTTTGGTCAATTAGACCAATCAATAAAGTCTGAAAATACAAATATTCGACCATTTAGCTAGATATGAAAAGTACTTAAATTCTGTACTTCTCCAGAGTGGGAAAGATCCATGACTTTCTAATTTATTGACACCGACTTGGATAAAAGTTTAAAAAGCTTCAGCTGCTAGAAGAAAAGTTACATTCACACGCCACAAAAATCTGTTTATTAAAAGACATTAACATCCAAAATGATGAAAATGTCTTTGTTTATTTACTTAATATTTATATATTTTTACAAAATAAAAAAAATGGAACAAAAAAAAGCTAACAAGTCCGCGAGAATTTGAGAAAAACAAAAAAGAAAGCCATTGACAAACAAGGACTACAGTACTTGTGTTTTTCTTTATATATGTACAAGACAATTTTATCCATTTAAATCTTTTGTTTTAAAATGCACAGTACAAAAAGAAGAAGAAGAAGAAAAAAAACACTGACAAAGAAAAGCCATAGCACAACTCTGTCCATCAGTACTCAATGGTGCAGGGTTCCTTACAACGTCAGGAGGGGGCAGGTGGTGAAGCGGGGAGGGGGCAGGTGGTGAAGCAGAGAGGAGGCTGTGGAGGGCGGGGGCCTTGGGAAAACTAAATAAAACACTTAAAAAAAAAAAAAACAAAGCGGCTTGGGTTCAAGTCTTGGGAAAAATTATTCAACATTTTTCAAAAGAAGATGGACCTCACGCAGCGTCGTTTTAAACTCATGGGAACGGTAACTGTACAAGCGTTGGATAATGAAAAACTCCTGTGCTAGGCAAAAAAACGAAGCACAGTACACAAACACGGGCCCCCGTGTGTACAAACATGCACGCAGTCACATGACAAACACACCGTCCTCACAGTCCAAGCCAGTGAGCTCACTTATATGTCTTTATATATAATAATATATCTATATTTGGTAAAAAATAAACTTCACAACTCTACCAATTAAGAGAATTGTTTCTTCAAACTTAAGAGAAAAAAAAAACAAGAAGGAGGAGGGAAAAAAAAACATTCAACAGCAATTTTTTTTAATTTTTTTTTTTAGATATTTTGTGTTGGAAGATTAAATAGGAGGTGAGTTGAGGGTGATAAATAGAAAACCAGCCTGCCTGCCCCTCCCAACGGCCTTCAGATTTTACTTCGTTCAGCTAAGAAAAAAGGTGGGAAATAAAAGTAAAATACAGGAAAAGCTCATTCTTTTAGAAAACAGTTCTATGTTACATGTAAGTTAAAGAAACAAACAAAAAGGGGTGGAGAGCAGGATGAGGGGGGGATTATCATGATACAAATTCCCAACACTCAACGTTTCACCTCCTAATTTTTATAACCATTTTCAGCTCCGACTTTTAGGCCCCTCCTGGCACAGCGCCTCCCTCTGGCTGCAGTCGGGACTGCAGGGAGCGGCTGAGCCAAGAGAAGGGAGGGAAACCTCTGCAGGAGGAAGAGGGAGCTTCACATGTGGACACGGTTTCGCAGGAGTGATGAGCCGTAACCCCGCCTCAGGAGGAGGCGGAGGTCCCGTCGGCGGATGTTAGTTCCCACCCCAGTTGTAGCTGTTGTACGCCGACTTGTTTATCTGAGATTTCTGCTGAATGGAGGCGTTCTGGCTGCGCTGTCCGGTGCCGCTCTGCCAAGAGATAACTGATCGTCAACAGGGTTCAGATAATAAGGGCAATGAGGATTCAAACAACTTTCAATTATTCTCATTTTATTGGGATTTTTAACTGGTGCAGTGTTGCCAGATTGGGGTGCTTTTGAACACGTTTAGCTGGGAAAAACCAGAACAACTTTGGTGCGTCTTTAGAAAGATTTCAGAGGAAAATTCTTGAAAATAG